TATTCCTTTAATGATATGTGCAGGACTTAAAAAAGCTTTTAGAAAGAACCTAAAAGCAGGTCTGGAAAATGTTTGTGAGGAGATGGTGGTGGTTGTTGCTCTTGCAATTGTTTTTCACCCATGGAAGTGTCTGAAGTCTGATAGAAAGACTAACTTAGTCTCCCAGAGCACATACGTTGTGTTGATAAGGCATGTAGTGGTCTTCCCTTCCTGTGGAAATATTCAAGGCTTCAACAGGTTTTGGCAATTCTATTTTGGAATGCAAACAGGACCTTTAATTCCTACCACACCACCTCCTTCCAGGAAAAAAGGAGCAAATCTGGGGGAAGGAGGAATGAAGAGAGGAGGCTGTAGTTCTGCAGTATCCTGAGAATAACTGTGGGACTTCTGAGTCAGATCAGAAACAATGTGGCCATACTGTGCTAAGATTTGAGCCAATACATACTTCCAGTTCGGATTTGTTCAGAAACATTGCTGTGTTAATGTTTTGTGCTGCTGCCCTTCGCTCCTGACCATTTGCTGTCCATTTGCTCCTGACCAGGTGCTGTCCATTTGCTTTAGAAGGCTTCTTACTGCACCTCTTACAGCTCTCCGTGTCCCCTGCCCTTTCGTCTGCTCCTGAATCCCTGTGGGTTGCTGGTAGAATGTCACTTGCCTGCATTAAAAAGCATCTTTCCAACCCTCCCTCACTTTTTTTTTTTTTTAAGATGTTTAGCGCTGCTGGACCTTCCTTTCCCTGCCTTTGCTTTCCTCTGAGGGGATACAGGGGATTCTCCCTGTCATAAGGACAATCACAGATGCTTGGAACAATGATTCAGTTCCCAGAATCTGGGCTTTTTTTGTTCCCTGCAGTTCTCCAGAGATACCTGGGGTTGAGGGAAGAAAAGATTTCCATGAGGACTGGTCAAAACTAACTCTTTGACCCTCAGCCTTTCACTGTTTAGGACATATTTCCAGGTGTGTTTTGCTAACATAACAGACTAGTGTTGCAAGCCATGCTGCTCCTGGGCCTTGCATTGCTGTACACACAGTGGTTGCTTTTGTTCAGTTCAGGAAAGAAAAATGCAAGCTTCCATTTCCCTGCTTAGAAAATGCCAAGTGTGCCTGAAATTGGTCAGTGGAGGATACAGGCGTGTGCCTCCGCCAAGTGCGTGACTTGTATCCTGCAGGCATGGGAGCAGGAAACTCTGTTGATGCATTGTCACACAAATTGGTGAAATAAATATGTAATGTCCAGAACAAATGGATTATTCTGTTGCTTCCAGACAGCAAATGTATATATCGTCAGCCTATGTGCAGATGTATAGATATAACGTAGAGCATAACTAGGGCCTAATAGTGGTAATGAGAACATCTGGAACATATGTTGCTTCCTGTATTGCTCACCTCATCTGCACATTTGGCCCTCTCATTGTCTTGCACAGGTTCTGTACTGGAGCACTATTTAGTAGCTGCCAAAAAAAAAGTTGCGATGGAGCAGGTCTGGTCAGCAGGAGGCTCAGCAGGACTCCGGCTGAGCTTGGGACCCAGTGGTTGTGGTGGTTTTGGCAATTAGCCAGTTATCCTCAGTGCTATCTCTGAGTTTCTCCTTTTTACAGTTCACACGGTTTGTGTCCTGATTCTTTGATGTATACATTTTTAAGTTCCCACGCTATCATCTTCAGATCTTAAACTTTCTTTTTCAGTGCAGTGTGAAAACCAGGCGGCCAATGTCTGTGTGATCCTGTGGAGCTAGAAAATAGGCAATCAGAAGCAGCGTGACTTTGAGTTATGTCACTACATGAAGTAGGTGTGTCTAGGGGGGCTGTCTCTTTTACTGCTCCTCCTTTCCCACACCCTCCATGCAAGTACACATACAGATGATGTGACAAATGAAAGTCCCAACAAGCAACTACAAAAGGTTTCCAGAAAGTAGTCATGGTGCAGATTCCTTCTTTTCTGTCAGTTCTTGTGATGGAGTTGGGGGCCTCTGGAAGATGCTGTTGATGATGCCAATATAGCTAGTGTCTTCAGGTGATGCAGGTCCGTAACTGCCAATACCTGTCTCTGCTTCCTCTTTCAGTCATGGTGTCGGATACAGCAGGCAGATGAGATCCTGCAGTGAAATCATAGGCGAGAGTTGAGCCTGATCCCAAGGGACTTAAATCTTGCCTTCAGATAGGTAAGAGCTCAGTCCATAGCCATGAGGCAACAGCTGAGGTGATGACATAGTAGTTTCTGGAGATGGATGAAGTGTTTCCCCACCCCAAATTAAAAAAAGAAACGTGAGGTGAACATTTAAGTGAAGGGAATAGTGGTTAAGCAGACTGTGGTGCCGTCCTGCAGCAGTGGCAGTGACAGTCTCACTTGATGACAAGAGACAGTGCAAGCTGTCTTGTTTGCATGACTTTGCTCAGGCTGGACATGAGGAACACATGCAAGTGTCTTGCAACTTGCCAAGCTAGCTGGCTTTGCTCTTGGTACAGTATGCCTGATGGTCTAAGCAACTTTCAGCATGGCAGAATAAATCCATACCTGTATCCCTGCGGTGCTATCATGTACACGGGTGTGTGGGCCAGCTAGTGTAAATGAGAAATGACAGGCAGCAAACAGTTGCCCCAGCCTCTTGTGAATGCATTTCTTTGAGATGTCATGTGCCTGTGGCTTTACAAGTGGCTTTTGTTTCTCCAACACTGAGCCCCGTGGCAGCAGAGTAATGTGGGTGATGTGCGTTCCCAGTCTCTGAAGGACTGAGGCAGCCTCTTTGATATTGAGCCAGATTGTTTGAATGTCACCTTCCCCATCCTGAAGTTCTGCCTCCACTTGTGATCCTTCCACACTTCTACCATGACACTTTGCTGCCAGTCTGTGATCAGTCCCAGGTGGTGCGTGGAAAGAATGACATAGTTAAAATATTTCTTCATTTTATTTGTATAACTTTTATGCTCAGGAGTTTCTTTGGCTTGGGGTTTTGTTGTTTGGTTGTTATTTCTCTGTTATTTAAGTCATTGAAGGTGCTGCCCACAGTGGGATTTCCCCATTATATCTTCCTGCTCTTGTTACCATGATTTCATTTCTAGCCACAACTCGGTTATAGGCAGCTGCTGCCATTCTAACCGCCCAGTTGCCCAACTTGTATCTGTTGGTCACCTCATCCTTTTCTTTGACAGAGGTCAGCAGTCACATTTTTAAAACACATGATCACATACGTACATTTTAACATGCATAAGCAATGTTTTGAAGGGTGACAATGCACCATGCTGCCGCTATCGGGCGTTTTTTTGATGCACTGTACCGTGTGGTCACTGAGCTTTAAGCACAGGGCTGTGTACTGAAAGCTGCAGGAACTTTGAGCTGCTGTGTGATGCAGAAGCGCAGGGCTGAGCTGGTTAGCTGCTTCCAGCAAAGCAGAGCTTTCTGCTGAGACCTAGCAGGTGCTGTGGACTAGGTTGGCTCACCTGCTGTCAGGATGCTGTCACCTTGCAGCTCCGGATCCATGGGGTTTAATACTATCTTATTATCCCTTCCTTCATTTCAAACTTCATTACTTGGAGTTAAATACAGCTTTCCAGTTTTACTCTAGAGTTTCAGAAAAATGCTGAGGGAAGTATCATAGCTAACACATTTCAACTCTTGACCAGCAAAAGCCCTTACTCTGCAGACTCGCTTTAAGTAGCGTTAGGTAAAGTACTGTTCAAAATGCCATTGGCTGCCAGTATCTTGTCAGTGCTGCCAGGCATGGAACTGAACAAGTGGGGGTGGCAACAAGCAATCAGCAAAGGAAATAAGGAATATCTCTGTCAAGCTAGGAATAACTTGAATTTCTGATGCATGCAAGCAAGCAAAAATGCCATCTTCTCACCCACTCCCTTCTTTTGCCCATCTTTCTTTTTTGATTTTCTTCATGCCGTGCCCAAACTTCCTAATTGTAGGCCATTTTTAGAAACTGCACTGATTTTGAAATGGTATTTTACTGTGAAACATTTTTCACCTCAGTTACTGAGGTATTAAGGGTACAATAATGAATACTTACCTTCCTGTGTACTAGCAGATAATTTTTCAACATAATTTAATTTTGCCTGAAGCATAATCTTTATAACAATGGATGCTTGATCATATATTCACTTCTTAGTAACCCTGGAGACAAGTTTCATGCTGACCATTCAAATGAGTATTATCATGCAAGTACTAACAAGACTAACTGGGAATAATTAAGTTATGTGTAGGCGTGAGAACCATAATGATTCTGATAAATTCCCACATTACAAATCAACCTGCTTGATTTGCTTCAGTACTTATTTTAATAGGAGCAAGGTGATCTAAGAGAAATTTTTCTTGATACTGTTTTGCCTCATGGAAACTATATAAAAGCTATTTGTAGTAAGGATAATTTACTATTATGTATTTAGATCTGGAGCAGTGGTAAGGGAGGGAAGCCAGGTTTAATAACCAGGAACGTTATTTTGTCTTCATTTCATTGAGGGGGGGTTTCTCAAAGCCTGGGAGACCTTCCAGAGCTGTAGGATAAACTTTTGGATTAATGTGATAGACTGCTACCCTTGTAATTTTCCTTATCTATATAGAGTCATGCATACCTATGTGATGGATTACTTATGTATAGATAGCATTATAAAATATTTTCCATCTCCGTTACCTCTAGTATCTTCAGGCCATGTATCTAGTTCCAATCTTGGTACAGACAATTAAGCCCCCAGGCAAACCAAACTAGGATTATTTTATTTTAAAATACACTTCAAAAACTCACAGGTGTTCATATGGTTATGAACATATATTATATTATGTTCCTTTGTTCCTGTTTTTCTTTAACTTAGCTTTGTGCTTGCTGGAACCTTAAAAGTGTGAAACAGAAGGGATTGGAAGCAGTAGAATAACTTCCTTATATTGTATGGTTCCCTAAAAATGACATCAATAAAAATTTAATCTCTGTGCCTTGAAACTATGGTAGGATTTTACTGTGATATATCCTTTTTTTGTTGTTGTTGTTTTCTTCTCTATTTCAGGCCAAACAAACAAAGTAGCCAAGGAGGCAGCCAATAGATGGACAGGTGTGTATGCATTTGTATTGATTAACACAGCTTCAGACTAGAGCAATTTCGGTAAAAGACCTACTCGTTGTTAAGAATTTTAAATTTGATTAGGACTTGATGTAGGATAGCTCTCACTTATAAAAGCATGCAGAAATATATTTTACTTACAAATCATAGTGATTCAAAAAAAACCCCAACATTTTCTTCATTTAGTTAATGAACATACTTCATATCACATAGCAGATTTGTTCTCCTGGTGCTATCTTGCGCACTGTGTTAAAACCTGCAATTCATTTTCTTGGTTGAGTTAAAATCTCTTAAGATCAGGAAAACATTAACAGAAAGAGACTGGAAATGGTGGTGTCCAGGTATTCAGAAAGTTTAATGCTTCTTTTCTGCATTTTCATCTGTTTCTAAAGAGTAGAACGCTTAGCGGTACCTTATTGCTGCTACCGCATGATGGATGCTAATATAAAGTAGGTATTTCTCAAACTAATTCATCAGCTTTGACATGCAGGAAAAATACTGCAGAGTTTTCAGTAAGGTTACTGTGATAACATTTGTGTGGAAATGTAACTCAATTTTCTCTTGTTGCATAGCTTTGCTATATAGCTATATGTTTCCTTTTTTGCAGAGCAAGCAATATGCATGTCCTTTTTTTTTTAATTATTTAGAATTCATCTACTACTGATGGACTGTTCACTGTCATTGGTTATGCCAAGTGTAGCAGGATATCTTTGTCATAGTCTTTTGACTATTATTATTTTATATCTTCATTTGCACTGGGTTGTTTACTGCATATGGGGAAACAAAGTTACTCATTTCAAAATACCTTCTGGGAGTACTGATGTCAGGGCTTTCTACTGTTGATGACAGGCTGTTGTTCTCAAGGTTTTAAGAGAGGTAAAGGAACTATGCCTAAGCCTGTAGAAAGTACTTTGCTATTTAATTAAACAATTTAGTTATAGGCTGTAGCATGTTTTTCTTCTGAAGAGACAGTTTTAAAACCAAATGTGTGACGGTTAAAGAAAAGAAAATATTTCTAAGGTGTGCAGATGCAGAGAACACTTCCTGTCTTAAGGAGTGCTGCAATTTATGGCTATTAGGAATGACATAGTGAGTTTCAATCAATAATGCAGTGAAAAAATGGTGTTAAATTGAAGAGAATGCATATGCTAAAATAACAGTAATGTGATGCTAAAAGCGCTGACTAAAATAAAGCTACCTGAATGTCTTTTTAACTTTCAAACAAAATCTGTGTTATCTGAACAAACATGCACAGGACTAGAAAGGACCTTACAGTTAATTTGAATCTGATTTTTGCAGTTGTAGACAGTCATACAGTAGGTGTCTAGTTGAAAAAGGACCTATAAAATACTTACAATGCATATTCACACTTACCTCATCACTGTAGCAGGCTTACACTGTAATTGTAGCTTTGAGTCCTCTTATAGAAGAGGAACAAGAAAAGATAAGGGTAACCTCCAGAAAAGAAGACATATTTTACTTAGTACTGAGTAAAAGTATGTCATTAGCAAAAGCCTCCCGTTTTCTATTCTAAATCTACTTAATAATTATGTTCCCTACTATGTGCCTTTTTCGTATACACAGAGAGAGTGCCAGTGGAAGGATTTTGTTGTAGTCAAGACTATAAATCATGCTTTCCTAAACATTAAAAACTGAATGTTTTCCATTCTGTTTACAGATAACATCTTTTCAATAAAGTCCTGGGCCAAACGTAAATTTGGATTTGAAGAGAGCAGAATTGACAAAAGTTTTGGAATCCCAGAAGACTTGGATTACATTGATTAGCGTTTAGCAATTTATGGCTGACACAGTTGTACATAGTTTGTTAAATATTCTCAGTTGGCATTTAAATGTGTGTCTGATTCCTCTCCAAACAACTGACCACCCTTATTTTGCAGTTTTTGTTAAAGTTAATAAAATTCTAAAAATATTTGTTGCATTTCCTTTTTTCCCTTGTACTTCTAGAGGGACAGTAAATCACTTTGTTACTTCTTTGAGACAGACTAAGAATGGACAGGGGTTATAGGGAATAATTATCACAAAGTCCTGAGACTGGTTTTTACTCTTCTGCTTAACTGGGAGTAGTACTAAGAGCTGGAAGCTCCAGGGATTTATGTTTAAACATGTTGAAGACTTTGGGGTGGAAATAAGAGGGGACGATATAGAGTAGAATGCATTTTTCCCTCATCTCAATAATTAAATACCAAAGATGCATAATCCATTAATGGAAAACATGAAGACAGTAAAGATGTCAGTAGAAAGGCTGAGGTCTGATTTCAAGCTCTTCTTTATTGTGTTGCTAGAACCGCTTGTAAGTTTAGTGACCAAATTTTGTTTATTGTTCAAAAATACGCGTTCATCAGAGCAAAATATTTTCCAGTGGATGTACTGGATTTGACACTGAGAAAGCTTCCCTGATCAAGATTGTTACTGCATAGGAAAGGGATCAAAGCACGCCCATCCATCCATTTGCACTGCAGTGAACCGAGATTTAGGATGCTAATCTGGGATGTCAGAGACCGAATTCAATTTGCTGTTCAAATTGAAGATGCTGAGCATCTTTGGGTCTATGTACATTTTTCAATTTCAGCCTGAAAAAGCAGCCAAGCAAAATAGTAACAAATTTCAGAATGTCTCATTTCTGGTGAAATTTCACAAGCACCTCACTTTTTATCAGCTTTGTCAGTTTCTAGCTCTCATCAGTGCGTGGCCACAAAAAGAGGGGTGGAGAGTACAGGCTGGTCTCCTACCTCCCACAGCTACGGACTGCAAGGTGGCGTTTCTGCTGTACAGCTCTGGAGGATATCAGCTTTACCTTTACAAGGCAGATGGGCCTGCTGCAAGGTAGATGGGCGTATTGCTGGGAAGCATCTGTCTGCCTTTTCTGTAACCTCTGACGAGAGTATCGCCGAAAAGGCGACGTTCAGCTGGAGATACGCTCAGAAGTCTGTCTCCTGTGACCTTTCCAACTGAAATGTTTCCTAGCAGTTCAGTGCGTGTTAAAATCCAAGGATTTTAGGTGTGCCCCTGGCTATTGTCATCCCACATCTACGAAGACACCAAAGTCATTGGGAAGAGACCGAGTGGAAGATTTTCCTCTGATAGAGGTAGCGTAGCAAACTGTCTGTTGCCTAAGGAAGATGTATGTGATGCCTGGCACATAGTAAAATGTCACTGTGCTTACAATTGCAATGGAGATATTTCCTTTTAAGTGTTTTGGAAGGATTTTATTCCTAATATATCCAACATTTAACATAAAATGTGTTATTTTTACCAGCTGGTAAAAGCTTGATGCAAGTAGGTAGCATTGAGCTGAATGCAGTGTTTCTTACTGGGCCTGGCTTTTGCCCCACGAGTGGAGTACTGTCCCCTGCAGGTGCCAAACCAAAGCATCGATGCACGTGTAGCTTGGGTGGTTGTTCTTGCTCTTGGATTTTGTGCTGTGAAACACTAAAGAAAGAGCTTTTTTCTGTTCTTTGTAGAATCTCTCTCAAATTATTTTTTTTTTAATTTTTTTTCCTGAATGTCTGGGGTTTTTTTGTGAATCTATTCTGCGCCACCTGACAGGTGTCAGAAGCTCCTTGCGCATCTGCATTTGAGAGCACGTATCTGCCACACAGAAGAGATGATGACGACTTGAAAGGCTTGTTCGTATGAAGGGATGCCGAGCGTGTGAACTTGCTGATGGTTCTTACCTCTTAGAATTACTTTCACATGGCTGAACTTCTACTTGTAAAGGAGTCTCGGGTAATTTATGGCCTGTAGCAGTTAGTGCACCCAGACTTCCTCTGGTACCTGTGGGGATGAGGGTTTCTGACTGATTTCTACTGCTTTGACTGCTTTCCAAATTCAAGAAGGAAATGAAGATGACCAGCTATGTAAGTTTAGCTGCAATATTGTGGCTTCCTGTCTGTAGGGTGAAAGCATTGTGGACTGCAACAAAACCATTAAATATAATAAATAGCAACTAAGTAACTGTACTTGAGGTAGACTTGCTTAGAGTAGACTTGCTTAGAGATGCCGCAGCCAGCCAGCACGAGCAACACTTTTAAAATGTCAAACACGGCCCTCACGCTTTGGATGCAAAACTTTAGTTCAAGTGCAAGGAATTTCCAGCGATATAATTTGCTGTCAAGTTTTGGTTTTGTTTTACAGGTACAGAAGAGAACACCGATATGCAATCATACTATTTTCTACTCCTGTCTTCCACTTTTCATGTTGGTTAGCGAGCCTGGTGGGAGAATGTGCCTCTTCCGGTAAGGACACAATTTTGGAACAGCTAGACCAGAAATTTCTCAGCTAAAGAGAGGCAGGGAAGAGGGAGGCACATTATTATCAGAAACTGAAGCTTGTTCCTATAGTGGAGTTGATGTATTTTATACTACCTTTTGCATGATTCTGCTGGGTTTTGGGGTTTTTTTTAGTGCAGATGACTTGCAACAGGAAAAGCAAATCCAGATCCTTTCTGAGACAAAGAGAGACAATTTCTATGTCTTGAATATTCCAAGACACTTTCAGACTACTGCATCTGCTCAATTTTAGAAGCTTTTTTTCTTAAAAAGATATGCAGCTAAGTCCCACAGTATGAAACCAAGTATGATTATGTGGTTTGAGGTGTGTGTTCACTTTAATTTTTAAGAGAAACTGAGACTTTTGTTTTCTGCTGAGTTAAGTCGCTAACAGTTAAAATGATTTTCCTTCTCCTGAGATGTTTTTTGCTATTAGCCTACAACAAAAATGAAAACAATCAATCTGATCTTGTGTCCCAGTTTGTTTCTACAGAGTTTTCCTGAGATAGAATCGGGGATATTTCTAAATAATCTAACATGAAAACGGTGGGGGTTAAATGCTGACTTCTGCTGTCACTCTTGTGGTTATCTCCCAGCTATATTATGTATATGTCTTCCTCTTTTTTTCTTTCTTTTTTTTTTTTTTTCTTTCTGCCCTGTAGGTTTTTTGCCCATGTAAGGTAAATATTTTCAACTGTTCTAGCTAAGTCAGGAGGTCAGGCCCTTATTAAAATTCAGGTTTATAATTAAAGCAGCTACTAGTGCAAAGTGTGAAAATCAAAAGCAGTTGGTTTTAGCAGTCTGCAGCTCTTGCAGGAGCACGACCCGGTCCAGGTTTTCAGAATAATCTCATGAGGACTTTATCACTACAGTACCAGGCTGAGGTGTTGGGTAATCCTACTCCTTGGGACTGATGCTGATTAGGCACTGTGAAGCAAACCTAGACACGGCAGAAAATATTTGTACCTGATCTACTTAGAAACCTTACTGGTTTAAAGAAAGTTTGCTGACTGTGTCTGCCCTGAAACAACCTGTTCTCCCTCAGCTTTTCTTTTAACTAGCCAAGCATGGAATCTAGGGCTCCTTTTGCTGTACTTGGAGAGCATTAAAATGTTAACAGTCAAAAGGGTTTAGATTTTGATGCGATTGAGCTGCTAAACCTTTCATTAATGCATCCTCTGAAACAGGGAAAATCCAGGCTCTGAAGCAAATGGCACAGTGATGCTGTGACTGTGGCAAAGCTGGAACTGAAACTTACTGGGAGAACGATGGAAAAAGAAACCCAACCTGTGACGGTGACTAAGAAGTTTGATGCAAGAGCTCCTTACAGAGTCCTCCTGCTGCCCAGGGTATTTCCCCTAGTCAGATGATCTGCCTGGTGCTTATCTTCACCTTGTTTCTTGTAGAGGTGAGGTTTGTAGGATTACATTTTCTGTGATTTCTCTCCTTTCTTTCCCTCCCAGCGTTCTTAAATTTCACCGTGGATTTCAGTCAAATTTAGTCTGAGGGGCTGCGGCGTGAGCTCGCGATTTATCTGTTCTGCTTGGCTGACTGCCTGATAAATCCAGGCTTTCCCTTTCCCACCTGCCAGTTTAGGGACTGGAGAAGGGGTAGAGCATGCTGGGCGTGGGAGGAGGAAGGAGAAATGTCAAAGATGGCTGTAAAAGACCTGGAAGCATGTGGTGCCTGCTGGTGGTGGAGTTTATGTGAGGGTCTGGCAGCACTGCTGGGGAGGAGCTGGGATGGGGCGTGCAGCCTTTCAGTGGGAAGGAGCGGGGATGTAGGAAACTGGTCTCTTGGCAGCCTGACTTCGTTACTTCTGCCACTCGTGGAGCTGCGATTATTAGTCTGGGGGTTTACAGCAATGTAAATTTACACAAGGCTTCACCGAGACAGCAATTAGATACCTCGCCTGCTCTAGAGAATCTGCACGCCCCAGAAGTGCACGTCTGGTGGCTTCAGCAGCTGAAGTCCTTGGCTAATCTCGGTGTCACGCAGGTGGCTGGATTCTTCCCTGTGCAGTTAGCTGCCGTCTAGATACAACGCTTCTGTAAATATTCCTGTGCTTAAGGGATCTGCCCGCACAGCAGCGACAGCCTTTCTCTTCAGCTTCCTTTTCTCCTTGCCCCTTTTGCTTTTTCCTCTTCCATCCCTCCACTGTCATTTCCCTTTCAGATCTGCTTACAGAAACCACGTAGGCTGAACGAGCAACATACGGCAGGCTGTACAGATGGTTGTCTGTCCTACTCCTCCTCTTGCCGACACCCCTGTCGGCGCACACCTTCCAACACGCAGGCACATAGGAAGGCAAGAATCTATACGTTAGACTTGGCTCTCTAAACTGCACGTGCAGAAGGCTGCGGGTCAAGACTAGAGGGCAAAAACGTCTGTGAACAATACCGCAAGCGCCTCTGAAAATTTCAAGGTCACTTCAGCAGCTTTATAATGCCCCACGAATGAATGAACAGGTTTTATGTTATGGATAATTTGGTCATCTGGTCATTACTTCACGCAACCTAGTCAGAAAAATTTTCCTTTTGGAAAATAATTCCTGGTGAAGTATTTATAAAGAACAGCTTTCAAGCAAAACCTGCTGGGCAATTTTCTGTTTCCAGCTGTTTGATGAAAACTTGAGCTATTCTG